CCCTTTGAATATTCCAGAGAGTTATTACTTTAGCGTTATAAGTATTCCCAGCTTAGTCTGGATTTCTGGATAGCATGGATTGGAACAGTTAGAGTGCTTCCTTGGTCGCTATGGTATCGCTGAAAGATATTTCAAGTAAATACATAGACTACTGTGACAATTTTTGCCTTTTTTTTTGTAATTTGTATTCTGCAGTTGCAACTTAAAATTATTGGTCTATGTACCGGCGTACTGCTGCGCCTGTTTTCAATCTATATCCTTTTACTCATGCTATTTGTTCTCTTTGTTCATTGAGTAAAAAAATATTGTTATTACTACTATGTATATCAAAAAAAGGGGAATTACGACTTTTTTATTTTCATATATCAAAAGATCTTGGTCGATACTAGCTACGATTTCACAAAAAATCTATCCATCCTACTGTCCAGTGTTTTTAATAGCTCGCAATTCGCAGAGACGTCGCTGAAAATATGCCGAAAAGCGAATAAAAGCGCCCTAAATCATCGCACTTACTGGTTCTCCCTGTCTAGCCTCCACCGTCATCTAGATCTCGCTCAATAATTACGTCCGTTTGTCACCATTATCAAGCGTGCGGCCCTCCACCGATAGACCTGTCAAACAGCAGGTGTTGAGTGGGTCATTAGCGGCTCGGACGCACATAATCGCAGCGTGCCAAGGCCGGCCTGACAATGCCGTCACGGCACTCTGGATCCAGGATCGTTTTTATTCGGATGTTTGATGCGCCGCGCCGGCCTTTGTCCGGCTTGGTTTACGAGGTTCATTTGGCTTTGGCCGTCCTGCGTATCTCACGCCATCTAGCATACATATCACGGTTAATGAAAGGGAATGCAGAGCAAATATTCCGCTTTATGTGCTTTTTTGACGCCTGTCGGCCAAAGGACAAAGTTATGGTAAACTTTGTTAACTCCTGCTCTGCGCGTTACTCGGGGAATTGCGGAATCCGAATGGAGTGTTTAATGGAAAATTTCAGCGCTTCAAAAAAATCCGCGAAAAATCCTGACATTGGATATGCCTGTGTGAGCATTTCATTCGTTTGCTGGCTGCGTGCAGCATGTTGACAGGGGAGTTGAAGACAATCTGCATGGTTAGGATCGAAGTCAGGCGGTTCTGCCTGGCAGGCTCATCAAGCAAAGCCCATCAAGATAGCGAAGGGGATACCCAGATCGCTGATAGATCGTTGGTGCTTAAGGATCTCAGAGGTGCAAATTTAAAAGATTATAAAAGTTTTGAAGATTTGAAAAGCTTGAAAATTTTGATGTCTGAAATTTTGGGAACTTTAGAAACCTTCGAAATTTTGTAAATATTGGAAATTTAGAAAATTTTTCGAAATTTGGGAAATTTAGGGAATTTAGAAGTTTTGGAATTTGGGATTTTGGAAATTTTGGAAATTTTGGAAATTTTGGAAATTTTGGAAATTTTGGAAATTTTGGAACTTTTGGAATTTGGAAATTTTGGACAAGTTTGGAAATTTTGGAAATTTTGAAATTTTGGAAAATGTATTGGAAATATTGGAAAATTGTTGGAAATATTGGGAAATATTGGAAATATTGGAATTGGGCAATTTTGTACATTTTTGTAAATCTTGTAATTTGGAAATTAATTTGTAAATTTTGTAAATTTTGTGTAATTTGTATTTGTAAATTTTAAATTTTGAAATTTTGTTTAAATTTTGTAAATTTTGTTAAATTTTATTTGTGTATTGACTTTGTAAATTTTGTAAATTTGTACTTTGTAAATTTTGTAAATTTGTAATTTTGTAAATTTGTTTTGTAAATTTTGTAAATTTGTAATTTTGTAAATTTTGTAAATTTTGTAAATTTTGTAAATTTTGTAAATTTTGTAAATTTTGTAAATTTTGTAAATTTTGTAAATTTTGTAAATTTTGTAAATTTGTAAATTTGTAAATTTTGTAAATTTTGTAAATTTTGTAAATTTTGTAAATTTTGTAAATTTTGTAAATTTTGTAAATTTTGTAAATTTTGTAAATTTTGTAAATTTTGTAAATTTTGTAAATTTTGTAAATTTTGTAAATTTTGTAAATTTTGTAAATTTTGTAAATTTTGTAAATTTTTTTTTTTTTGTAAATTTTGTAAATTTTGTAAATTTTGTAAATTTTGTAAATTTTGTAAATTTTGTAAATTTGTAAATTTTGTAAATTTTGTAATTTTGTAAATTTTGTAATTTTGTAAATTTTGTAAATTTTGTAAATTTTGTAAATTTTGTAAATTTTGTAAATTTTGTAAATTTTGTAAATTTTGTAAATTTTGTAAATTTTGTTTTTGTAAATTTTGTAAATTTGTAAATTTTGTAAATTTGTAAATTTTGTAAATTTTGTAAATTTGTAAATTTTGTAAATTTTGTAAATTTTGTAAATTTTGTAAATTTTGTAAATTTTGTAAATTTTGTAAATTTTGTAAATTTTGTAAATTTTGTAACTTTTGTTTTTGTAATTTTGTAAATTTTGTAAATTTTGTAAATTTTGTAAATTTTGTAAATTTTGTAAATTTTGTAAATTTTGTAAATTTTGTAAATTTTGTAAATTTTGTAAATTTTGTAAATTTTGTAAATTTTGTAAATTTTGTAAATTTTGTAAATTTTGTAAATTTTGTAAATTTTGTAAATTTTGTAAATTTGTAAATTTTGTAAATTTTGTAAATTTTGTAAATTTTGTAAATTTTGTAAATTTTGTAAATTTGTAAATTTTGTAAATTTTGTAAATTTTGTAAATTTTGTAAATTTTGTAAATTTTGTAAATTTTGTAAATTTTGTAAATTTTGTAAATTTTGTAAATTTTGTAAATTTTGTAAATTTTGTAAATTTTGTAAATTTTGTAAATTTTGTAAATTTTGTAAATTTTGTAAATTTGTAAATTTTGTAAATTTTTGTAAATTTTGTAAATTTTGTAAATTTTGATTTGTAAATTTTGTAAATTTTGTAAATTTTGTAAATTTTGTAAATTTTGTAAATTTTGTAAATTTTGTAAATTTTGTAATTTTGTCAAATTTTGTAAATTTTGTAAATTTTGTAAATTTTGTAATTTTGTAAATTTTGTAAATTTTGTAAATTTGTAAATTTTGTAATTTTGTAAATTTTGTAAATTTTGTAATTTTGTAAATTTGTAATTTTGTAAATTTTGTAAATTTTGTAAATTTTGTAAATTTTGTAAATTTTGTAAATTTTGTAAATTTTGTAAATTTTGTAAATTTTGTAAATTTTGTAAATTTTGTAAATTTTGTAAATTTGTAAATTTTGTAAATTTGTAAATTTTGTAAATTTTGTAAATTTTGTAAATTTTGTAAATTTTTGTAAATTTGTAAATTTTGTAAATTTTGTAAATTTGTAAAATTTGTAAATTTTGTAAATTTTGTAAATTTTGTAAATTTTGTAAATTTTGTAAATTTTGTAAATTTTGTAAATTTTGTAAATTTTGTAAATTTTGTAAATTTTGTAAATTTTGTAAATTTTGTAAATTTTGGAAAATTTATGCCATAATCGCAACGCAGGTTTTTCCAAGAAACACAATTAGAAAATGGTTAATGTAATACGTCGCTTTCCAGAAAAATACGTCTCAAACTCTCTTCAACTAATCCCGTTTCACCGAATGGCTGTTTGATCGTTTACAATTTGATACCGCAAACTTTCACGTGATCCTTTAATGACTCCCTATAAACTTTGTAGTTCGAATGGCTCTCCACCAGACAATTACCGACTAATTGAGGATTCGCTTTAACCAACTTGTCCATCCGGATTGAATAATTAATGTACCTTTATCCCTGTTGAACGTAAGTACCGATGTTCCAACAGAAGCATACCGGTGTTAGTCGGTGTATTGTTAGCAATTGCAGCAGTGTAAGCTAGTAATATAGCTTCAGCCGTTCCGACCATCGACGGTAAATTATGGGCAGCTGTTTCGTGCTTTTTGAAGACTCATCTTCATGGTTTACGGCTTGGTCTCAGGTCACCCATGCAGCGGTTGATTCTGTGATCTAAAAAAGATCGAGAAATGCTTCCAGAGAGCTAGTTTAATTTTTCAGCAACTCCAAACACAGTTTTCACTAATGAGGACAGTAGTTGTGTTATTGTAAAAGTTTCATATAACTTGCTATATTATTTCATAAATTTGAAGAAGCAACATAGGAAACAGCAAACATAAGCAAAGGTTATATTTTACTGTATAATGATGGTAAAACATCAATTAAATCTTCTTTCAAATGTGAGCAACTTTTCTTCATAGTAAAGGCAAATGCAGTTACTGATATGACTACATTTTATCTGTACGAACATTGTACAGTTACTTAGAATATAACGTCACCATCATGAAAGTGATAAAATGCTTGCAATAAATGTCAACTAGGCGTACATTATTGAATTCACTGCGAAGTTATTATAAGATATATTTTACCATAAAATATATGCATAAAAAGTGAACGACAAATACTGAAATCCAAGGACATTGCAACTGCATACATCCAATACTTTACGACCAACTTCAATGTAAGATGCCTTACTAGGTGTTAGGAGTTTTATTTTTTATATAATAATAATAATAATATATAACTAATCCTATTTACAACATCTTTTCACTTAACGAATTCGTGCCAAATAAAGGAGCAACGAAGACCAATAAAATAAACCGAAACATGAGCTGCTGTCAGGAATATTTTGAAATGGCATTCATGGTTAGTTCTGAACGTATTCAATGCCATAAAGCCGATTACCCTTATAATTTGGATGATAAACAAGCTCACAAAGTACAATTAATTACCCATATTGAAACGTCGACATGCTGCGGAAATAGAGATGTGCAGAGTCCATAGTTCTAAACAAAACGATGTATTGCCCGCATAGGATGCGTCAGTCATAAATTGCATTATCAAGGATGTATATGTTCGCTGCGCAAAGACACATCGCTTACACTGGAGGTGATGAATGTTTGTAAACGTCACGTGGGACGACGATTCTTTTCAGATTTTATGTAAATGGACGATATGCTCAGGCTAGACGAGAAAACGTGTATCCCAGTACGAGGGAGCTTGTGTTCTTTAACTCATTAGGACTTTTGCAGGCACCAATTGCGCAAAATGTGGAAATTTTTAAAATTTGTCAATTTTGAAATTTCAATAATTTTGAAAATCTTGGGCAAGTTTTGAAAAATTCGAAAATTTTCAAAATGTTGATAATTCTGAGAATTTTGAAATTATTGATCTTGCAAACATTGAAAATTTTAAAAATTTTGAAAATTTTGAAAATGTAGAAAATTTTGAAAATGTAGAAAATTTTGAAAATCCTGAAAATTTTGAAAATTTTGTATATTTTGAAATTTTTGAAAATAATAGATATTATGAAAACTGGAAATTTTGAATATTTTGAACAGTTTTAAATTTTCAAAACGTTGAAGAAGTCAAAATATTTGAAAATTTCGAAGTTTCAAATTTTGAAAACGTTGAAGATTTCAAATATCTGGAAATTTTAAAATATTCGAAATTTTGGAGATTCTTAATGTTGAAAATTTTGGAGATTTACAAAATTTTCAATATTTAAAAAAAAATCAGTTTCAGAACTTTGATGATTTTGAACATTTTAAAAATTTGACGAAGATGAATGTATGGAGGTAGTTCCATGCAGTAGCTCTAATATGATCCGCGAAAAAACATGAAGAGACTAATATTTTCGTGTACACTGATACTGATAGTTTGATTCAGGGTAAATGAACAATGAACTATGAGTAAGCGTTGGCTGGTAATGATAACTGCGGATATACGTAGAGAAAAAATGAATGCACGAAAGAAGTTGTTTTTTGTTTTTAACTTCGGTAATTAAAGAGCTATAGATCCTCCCTGGCTAAGGGACAAAAAATGGCCACAAAAATGTACGTTCCATGATCACTGATAGCATGACGTGGCGGCTTTTTATCCTTGTACTTGTTATGAGATAACAATGTATGACTAGTTCTACATCTATGCGTCTTTCTATTGATTTTTATGTTCAAGGAATATCGTTTGAGCGCTTGAAAGAGATGTGTAGGACAGTGGAATAAATTCAAAAAAGATTCATTTCGCTTGAGCGTTACAAAAATGTAGTACATATCTGTTTTAACAAAGCCTCGACTGAAATGCATACAGAGCCTGCATTCTCTTACATAATTTACATTTTATAGCAGCGATAGTTGAAGAGACGGAAGCAGAGGTTTGGTGTTTCATTCTTAGCAATATTTGTTCGATCGAGTCTCATCATAGTCGTTAAATCAACTTTCCAGTGTTAAGAAAGTTCTAGGGTATCAGAATTCAAAAGAATCGTACACTCCTTTGTAGATCATCCTGTAATTTGTCCCTAGATGTCAATTGTCTAAAGTATTACCTTTCTTAAAATATACTAGGATATTAAAAAAATTGTCATATTATATTTCATAAAGTATCATGCTAAAAATATCTGAATTCGACAGGGTTTTAACTTTCAAGCGAATGAATAGAAATCTACAATCTGATACAAAATTGTTGTGCTTCATAGTCAACAAAAGTTGCAGGATCTGACCATGAGCTTGACCGTTACCACCGAGAGTACAAGGCCCGACAACAGACGCGTGACGTCACCACGAGTAGGCCGGTCGACCGGCCGACAGCATGGCGCGGCGTGTCGTACATCAGCGCTAGTGAATAATATATTATTGCAGCATATTTAATATACTCTACCTGATGTAAATAACGGATAATTCAGAAAAGTGTTTTTGGTATATGGAGGAAACTTGGTGGAGAATATTAAAGTAGTTATTAACTATTTTCACCCTGATTTTCACTGATGTTTCATCCAACATCACGTGCATATTAGATTAATAAGTTGATGCTATAAAAACTTGCTAAAAAAGATAAATTCTTCAATGAATAACCCCATGTTAGTCACAACCGATCAACAAAATTTTACATGAATATGTGGACAATTTACTATTATTATAGGCATAATATAATGGTACTTGAAAATTATATAAAAAAATGTAGTGCTTGTAGAACAGTTGTGTCCAGCAAGAACCAACGAGGAGGTCTGAGGTAAGCTCTTGCCAGGAAAGGAATAAGGAAGATGAGGAGGGAAAAGTGTAGGATAAATCATAAGAAAAACGGATAAAATCAAAGTAAAATAAACAACAGAAAAAACATAACAAAGATTAACGAAAACTTACTAAAAACTCTTAGAACCAACAAATAACAACACAAAATAATGACAAAAATTAGAATAACGAAAATTAAAGTGCTAAATTCTGAATATGTACAAATAAACATTTATCTACAGCTATGTAAATGTTGCGGCTCATGTGAATGTAGTCAATTTACGTTTCTTTGCTTTATTCGCGCTTGCACAGCTGTCGTTCCTTTTGGCACAATAATTTGTCAAAAATAAGTAAGCATGGTTGATAGTGGTTTTGAACTGGTCTTTACCTGAATATTCCCTCGAAGCATCTGCATTCTCAGAAAGAACATGCAGAGCATCATCCAAGTGGTGTATATTAGATAATAAAAATGGAGTTTTAATATTACCTGAATTGAGTAACAATTCTTGGGAGTACATATACGTTTTTACATTGAGATCTTTATCAACAATTGCAGTTTATATTCTAACTTAAACAAAGTAACTTTATCCTGAACAATTTTATGCCACCCATATGGACATTGCCATCAACTGAAAACTGTGAGAAAGTCTGAATAATTTTGAAAACAAGTTGATTTTTGATAGGAGGAATAATCGTCAATGCTAGTTTTTAGTGCTTTAAGTAGTTGTTCTTGTTCCTTGTCCCTCAATTTCTCATCTCGGCTTCTTCTGCTTGATACGTCCTTTGAAAGGTATTTTTGACAATTTGCAAAGATACTCGGAATTACAATTAGGAACGCAGCACTTGTAAGGCATTTTGAAAACTTAGCTAAACAATTGCGAGACACAAACATAAGTTTAAAACATCAATAATTTTCAGTTTACATAGCATAGAAAGATACATAATAGACGCTCAGAATGAGAGGTTAGTTGGCAAGGTTGCCACATATTGCAATTTTGAATGGAATATTAGACTTCAAAAGTGACAGATTGAAAGTAATATCGAAAATGTATTCTTGACATACTGAGGCAGATCAGAAAGAATAATCACATCATCACTGAAGCTGCGCAGGACCCGAGTACATCTCGCAAATTCACCCACAGAGAGGTACAACTAATTAGTGGAGATTTCGATACTGCTATATCAAACCTAGATATGACAACACCCCAGAGAAATGGTGGCGCGGTTTTCTTACCAGCCAGGCATCGCGTGTCGTCACAGGCTTTTCAGAGCCCAGTTGTTTGGCCTTGTACTCTCGGTGGTAACGGCTTGACCCACAGATGGAAAGGGCGGAAATAACATTGATTACGACTTTTAGGAACTTTTAGATGTCAACATGGACATTATATAATAGGAAATACGTTTTCGACTGCGCGTATGGAAGAACGGAGAATTCTATGTCCGGAAAGAATCTGTGGAGATGACTTGACCCTTAAGGTGTCTGGTAGAAAACGCTTTGGATTAACCCTGCTCCTAATTGACCTCTAAATCGCCTTATGGTCTTGCTCAAGGTCATTTGATCTTGAAGGTCAACCACATACGATTTCTTATTATAAATGGCCTAGGAGTTTATAAGAAAATCGTGGTCCAGGACATTGAGCTTTGGTAATATCCAGAATTTTCAAGTTGACATCTCAATGACCAATTCTAAGACAACAACAACAACAATTCTTACAACTTTTGTCTCGGTCATTTTCTTCCGAGTATCGGAAGCTTTTTGAACGGGTTCATGAATTCCTACAATTAAGAAAATATGTCCGGCCTTCCTTCTGCCTAACGCTGCATAATTTTTTGTTGTATGCAACGTAATGCAGAATAATCGCTAAAACTCTGCCGAAGAGAAAAATCCATTACAGAATAAATTGCTTCAGCGGAACCGTACGAATTTTTATTTTAAAATTCACGCTACGCTACGCGTCGATGTTTGTATTGATTGCTTACGGTTTTTGTTTGGTATGTGAAATGGTATAGAGCTAGCGATGAATGCTTACTAGGAATTCGATGGGAAAGTCAGGGCTTGTATGAAAATAATACAATTCTCTTCCTGGAAACAAAAGGATACGATGAAAACGTTTTACTGAGTCTTGTTCCGATAAGCGGAAAGGAAGGAGGAATTTTGATGTTGTCCGTGATCGGTACATGGGCCACTTTATAGAGGTCTAACGCTCTACTAGCAGAAGTAGTACTTTTTGAGATTCTTTTCAAGAGTAAAAGTCGTTTTGGGTTGTGAGAGTAAGGGAATCACGAGAAAACAGGAAACAAAATGACTAGGCTCGCCATGATAAACTTTTCGCTCCACGCACACTTAACAGTGCGCGTTCCGGCGAGTAGCAGATAAGTTAATAAAAAGCCAAAAACATTTAATATATCAAGCTTTTTACTCCGAATTGAATTATTCTGCTAATAGCTCAAATTTTATTGTAGTTTTATTTTGAAGTCATTAATTATCACTGATCAACAGCCAAAAAATATCCTAAATAAAATCAACAAAATATTACTATTTTTAATGTGCTAAAACCGGAATGAAACTTATTTTTTCAATATTAGTTCAAGTTTTAGAGATACGGTAATTATATGTGTTCCTGCTGTGACAGTGTTAATATACTGTAATTCACAAGAATGCACGTGCTACATTTTTATATTCGGCAAGGAAAGATGATGTAATGGGCATGATTGTGTTACGTTATACATACGTGTACATTATATTGTTTTATATTAGCCATTTTTTCCTCAGTTGGCTGACAGCGTTCATGCAAGATGTCTCGAAAGTGTGTAAACGATCCAGATCAGGTTTGTTACGTGTGTGGTGATGTGACTTTTGCGTCTCAGAGACGGTCTATTACTCCACTAACAACAAAGGCATATCAGCTTTATTTCGGTTGTAAACTAGGTGATCAAGACAAACAGTGGGCACCCCACATCTGCTGTAATACATGTGCTTCA